CTACACTACAACCATGAAGGTATTTGAATACTTCCCACAAAGAATGAGGAACGTAATCAGAAGATATCTCGAGCTATTCGCCAAGGAAAGAGAAATATTTCTCAAATATACAAGCAGCTACCCCGTATTCGATCAAGACAAGCTATTGATCGGATCAAAGGCAGTTATCCTCATGGGAGTATCAAACCATGATTACCCTACCAGAGATGACCTACGAGACTATGAGAAGAACCCAGACTACCAAGTAAAGGGTCTTCTTGCAGTATGCAGAGCATTAACCAAAATTGAACCGGAAAGCCAGATTAAAGTTAATTACAGCAGCCCCGATGTCATCATCACCAGCAAAACAAGAGGAAACATAACCAAAGAAGAATGGGCAATCATAACAGATAAAATTAAGGAATTCACAGAAATTAATGGGAATCTGTCAGCCCTTCCCACTCAAATCAAGAAACAGTTATGCAATGAGCTTACTATCTATGAAGACCATCTCTGTGAGTGGTGTGCAGCAACTGACGAAGACATCAGTGGACCAGCAGACCAAGACTGACAGAAGCATGTGAAGAAAAAGGAATCAAACATGGAATAAAGCGACAAAAGAAGGTTGGCCGACTCCTTTAAAAAAGTCGTGCATTATTGTATTTTATCAGCTTTCTTATCGTTTCACGCGTTTTCTTTTAACGTATTAGCTTTACGTCCCTGTTGCACAAACGTAAGCAATGACGTCTTTGTATCTCCCCTCAGCTCTATATAAGAGCAAGAGTTTGCAATGAAATAAGGCAGAACGAGTTTGGCCATAAAAATTGCCTGTTTACTCTCTCCCTCTAGCTAGCTAGTTGTAAGGCTTGGATCCACTGATCCTGGAGGCCACAATCATTTTCAATATAATCAAACGCACGGAAAGAAGCTACAATCATCAAGCGATCATCAAAAGGCTCAAAATTTCATCAGAAGAGCAAGTCAGGTATGTCTGATAATCCTACCTCAAGTTATTTTGACTATTTAAACAAAAATGATAATGAAAACTACTTCTTAAATGGTGTTATAGACATTAAGAAAATTAGAGAAAAAACTAATTTTACTATTTCAGAAACTCAGAACTTTATCACTAAGTCTTTTTTATCAAAGCTCTTTGATAGAGAAAACATTATTAAATATGGTAAAATGATAGGTGAAGTAGCAGTCCCTATTGATCAAACTAAGGGTGATTTCTTAATCCAAGTAATAAATAAAGAACAAATCAGAAAAAGATTAGCTAAACTAAGACCAGAAGAACGAAATAAAATATCTTATATTCATATTAGTACAATTCAAATTATATTAAAATCAACCATGAAAATAGGTATTGACGCACCCATGGAATTAGAAATTCGTGATGATAGGCTCCTAAACGAAGAAGAAAGTATTATTGCTAAAGGAACGGGAAATTTAGGAGTAGGAATAATTAAATTCGACATTAACCTGCAACAAGGATTAAGCCTGGCAGATGGTAATCTTGACTCTTCTATCATTATAAAATACGAATTAAAAAGAGAAAATTTTATGAAAGAGAATAGCAAACCATTTTCAGTAACTTATCAAATAAATTATGCATTAACAAATAGTCACCACAGCTTAACCTTTAAAAATAAGGAAGTAATTACTATAGAAGATTTATTTAAACCTTTAATTCAACTAGAAGCACCATTAAAAACTGTTAGAATAGAACCTAGTCTACCATCGATAACCCAAGATCAAAGACGATTAATTAAAACACAATCAGAGAGAATTAGGCATATCCCAGTAATTGAACAAAATCTAGAACAAGAAGAGATAACCAATAATCAAGTAAATAAATTAATTGAAGAGATAACCAATAATCAAGTAATAAATAAGTTGGAAAAATTGCAACATTCAATCGCAAATCTAGAGAATAAAATCTAAAACATGCCTACTAATTATCATATAAATAAATTAATTGAAGGAATAGATGCTATAAATCTCACTTCAATAAATTATATCAATACGGTCACACAAGAACTAACTTACTTTGCTTCAGAAATCGTAGAGGAACAAATGAGTATTGGAATCACAGAAACATTAGAAGAAGCTATCTCTAAAACCGAATTAATTACGGATATAATAACTAGCCTAAATAAAATAAAACAAAGATTACTAAACCAATAAGACATTTATAAAAATATAAGAGAGTAACAAAAACATGGTATCAGAGCCCAAACCGATCAACTACCCGAATTATTTAGTTCGCAAAGACTTGGATATTAGTTCATACACCATTGGATATCAGTTAGTATCTACTAACAAAATGACCAGTTAGCAGATTAACCAGGTCGATGGTTGAGATGCATAATTGCATATACACACATTGTGGTCACATATTCAAACTATTCAACGATTCGCGAAAGGCAAAAACTAATTATAGTCATCACCAACCAACCCAAAGGGAGAAGAAAGGGGAGGAAAAGGGAGGTGGTGGTGTGGGGCGGGGAGACAAATAATGTCGGCCGACGTCTCATCCTGCAAATATAGTCAAAAAAACCTTTTGCCTCCTTATTCAAAGCTTGCAAATGTGACAGAATTTCGGCTGCCAAATATAGATTTCTTGTGTTATATTCGATCTGATGACATGACGATGGCCGAAAAGCTAGGTTGCCTTCCAATATATATATTAGACTCATTGCCAACTTTAACATTTAATTATCTTTTTTCCAAAGGCAAACCCCCTTTTGGCAGGATTTCATGGCCGACTTGGTTCCACTTCCACCAGCGATCTAGCTGACGTCTAATTACTGGAACGAGTATGTGCCACGTCATATAACTCGCAGCAGAAATGGGTTTAAAATTGTAATTAGGACGTTAAATTGAAAAGGTGATGGACCAGAAAATAAACCAAAAGGAAGGAAACAAAGGAGACAATATCTAGTCTGAAAAGTGTTGATGATCATTTAAAGGGCCTTTGATTTTACATGTTTTATGAACAGATTCAAAGGCCCGGGCGGATGGATCAATGCATTAACAAGATTTAACTATCTCCATCTAATATTATTTGTGTCTCACAGGATCATGAGGAAGTGCCAATCAAATGTACGGATGTTTCTGGCATCTGTCTTAAGTCCATTCAACAGCCTGAGACATGACTCGTGAGGGAATTAAGATTGATGTTAGTTAATTAGGACTGTCGACCCTGAATATTACGAACGAATCCCCAAATCAATGCACTACGAAACATCACATGGAAAAGAAAACTTATCAGTACAAATTAAGTAGATTGTTTTTTCATAGGATGAGTTCCAACAAGAAATCCACGAAAACTTTAGTGATCAGAGCAGAAATCATGGCTAGATACCTGAAAATAGATTTCCCCTCTAAGAAAGTAGAAACGTGCTGAATTCAGGCAAAGTGAGGATGTAAAGTTCATTAGGAATAGTCAAAATGGGTGGTTGAATTTGAATGGCGGGTTGAGATCGATCTACGAAATATTCAAATTGTTTTGACGGGATTATGGATATGTAAATTTTTAACTCGCACTTATGTGGATAAGAGGTGGGTAGATGTGGGTCGTTCAAAAGACCTACGACTCATTTTCACATGGCAAATAGCCATTTTTTTCTTCATGTTATCGAATGGTTTTCGTATTTTATAATCACACTATATAGATTATCAACAATGAAAAAAATTATTGAGAGATGTAAATTAGAACCGATTAATTGTATCAAAGTCGTAAGAAGCATCAATTAATCGGTGAAATTAAATGCTTTGGTGGTTTAACAAACATTCCAACTTCACTCACCCATCATCCATGTTTCCCAACTCGAAAATGAACATTGGTGTGTAACTAATCATATTCATACCAACCCGCTAGTAATTGGGTGGGTCAACTTGAGACTGACCATCTTGACCCATATAATGATCATCCCGGCTTAAGTGTACTTCTATCTTCTACTAATGTAAATGAACTTAGAGAAGATAAGTATCGCCAACTTATTTCAATTTTCCGCATCTAATGATCGTCTCAGCTTCAGTGTGCTTCTATCTTCTACTAATGTAAACGGATTTATAGAAGATAAGTATCGCCAATTTGTTTTGATTTTTCGTAAATGCAAGGTGTTCAGTTGAATCAGAGTATATCAGCCTGTCAGGCACTATAAGAGCACTAGCAGAATCACATCGGAAGATGTACGTGGGTCCATGAACCCCGTTGAAAAAGAAAATTTATGAAAGATAAAAATATTAAAACATCAGCGAAACTGACAATAATCAGACTATAATATGCATTACAATTTACATCCAGCCCAATTTTTCATGTATTTCGAAATGAGTTGATAGTTAATTTGATCTAAATACTATACCATTTTAGTTAATTTGTGACCAAAGTTGACCACATTGCAAAGACCAAAAGTCCAAACACTTTTCTGCCGAAGTAGCTAGAAAGGAGGACTAGTAGCCTCTTCATATTGAACTGAATTGGCTTTAATTTAAAATATACAAGTAGCTACTAGCTAGTCCAGTTCCCTTTAGTTAATCTATCCTTCTATTTTGTCTATCCTTTTTTATGAATATTTTGTCTATCCTCTTCTCTTTTTAGTGTCATTTATATATTATAAAAATATCCTTTTTATTCCTGTTTTGGTTCTCTATATAAATTGGTGATCTCCTAAAAAAACAATTTCAATGTCCTCTCTTAGGTTACCCAATTCGTGGGTGTCACCTCCACGTTCCCGCTCTAGCGCGTGAAATCGCGGATCCCCGGCAAATCGCATTAAATTCGCGAACTAATAATTTTGGGAGCGCGAATTTTATTTTCAAGAACGCGGATTCTGGCTGCTGCATGTAAAACCAGGTGGATGAATCTGCGGTGAGCTTGGCACAACTCTCCAGCCCATAAAATGAATCAACGAACGGGGTAGAATCTTGTGGAGCAGCTCGGCGTTCTCGGCATCTGTCAATCCAAACTGCAAGACTTGATTGTTAGCGGCGTCATACCTCTTGAGAGAGGCCTAGGGCGCCGATCCAATTGAGTATGAGACGTTGCCGGCGGGAGCGATGGCGATGGCATCCGAGAAGTGCACATGCATTATGCTAGAGTTAGATCTTCAAAAGAAGAACAAACAGACATTTATCTTCCTTTCTGGGCAGTGACGAGTGAGGGGAGAGAGAATTGGAGAGGGGAGAGGAAGTTCTAGATTTGTGGTGTGGATGGTAAATGGCGGAGTGATAAGGGGAAGGTAAGTGAAAAATGGAAAAGAAAGAATTAAATAAGTAAAAAAATAATAATTAATTTGCTACATTATTTGCACTAATAAACGGTTCATTTTACAAAATGAAATGATTATTACCAAAATACAAAATTGGTAAAAAATTCCACCTCTTTCTACCATTATTGTTTTCTATAGACATATTTCATAGGTTACATACTATTTTGGTACTAATTATGTTGATATGTGTAAAAAAAAATACTTAAAATAATATAATAATAACGCTCTCATGACGCTCTCATTCTTCAATTCTTGTAAAATAGACGCTCTCGCGCTCCCGCTCCCGCTCTCGCTCTCGCTCCCGCTCCACGAACTGGTTACCTAAGTCCTCTCTCCTGTTGCAAATGAGATCCCTTATGATTTATGAGGGCATTCATATATAATGTATGAGAATGAATTGTAATCATAAATAACAAACAAATAAAAAAAATCAAACTATTACAACCGGTTGGTTCATATTACAATAAAGAAGTAAACAACCGTAAGAAATTAAACAGGAGTGCTACGAAAAACACTTTGCAATCCTAACTTAACACAACATTGATAAAAAAAAATATATATAAAAATAAAAATAAAATAGAAACGAACTATCAATGGTCTCAAGTATCACTTCTTGATCTATATTCCATATAATTCAACCATTTAGTACAAAATGTTTTTTTTTTATTTTTAATATGAGTCTCTTTACCATACAGCATGTCAAAAAGACTCTCTAAATAGCCAGCTTTGGCTGTTCGTTGGACAGAGCTCCATCTTAAAATTGGTGCAACAGTAAAAACAGAAACGACCTAACTAATTTTAGGTTGACATTTTTACAGTAACATATATATTCATCTAAACGTTGACTGAACAATATATATATATATAGTTTATTCTTCATGATCGTCTAGTTTGATATTCTGACACATCCAATTCGATCCCCCAGAAATCTCTCGAGTTTCTTCTTTTCCGGCAGGGACAAATCAGTAATAGCTCCAAAGACTCCCAACATGATCATAAGCCTCCATCACCGGCGGCGGCGCCATCCTCGGCGGAGAAACCATCATCCCTCCGGCCATGTCCACCAGCAAATTCGGCATGTCGAACAGCTCCTCCTCGTCCACATAAAACTGATCATTATCATGATGCCCTCTTCCCTCCTCTTCCGCCGCCGCCGCCACGTGATCATAATTACCAACCCCTCCTCCTAGTCCTAGCTCCATCCCCCGCATCATCTCCGCCTTCATCATGGCGGCCGCCGCGACGGCCGCACTGCGGATATCTGCCGGGGAGGCGGAAGCCGGGATCGGGTACGACCCGGCCCACTCGGGGAAGTTGAGGACCGCCTCGTCGCCCTTCAAGGCCAGCGCCGCCGCGTCGTAGGCCGCCGCGGCGATCTCCGGGGCCGGGAAGGTGCCGAGCCAGATTCGGTTGGTCTTGCGAGGCTCCCGGATCTCGGAGACCCATTTCCCGCTCCGGGAGCGGATGCCTTTGTACTTGGAGTGCTTTCCCGACGAGGAAGAAGAAGAAGAAGAAGTTGGGGTGTGATGATGATGGGAATTGTTATGAAGAAGAGGAAGTTGGTCAGCCATAGGAGTGGACTATCGAGTAGCTAGCTAGCTAGCTAGTGTGGGGTTTGAATATATATATATATATTTTTAGGGTTAAAAGAAATAAATATATAAGATAATAATAATATATTATCTTATTGGTAGTTTGTAAGATGATGGTGATAATAGAGTGTGAAAGAAAAATGTGGGTTTAGGTGATGAAGGGGAGGTTAGATATATAAAAAGGGAATGTTTGGGTTTTATTTATACCAAGGAAAAGTAGTGTCCATTTTAATTTCCGTGTTTATGCGTGGCCAATTCGTGGGTCGGGGGCGGGCGGGCAATGGGCAAGTAGGGGCACCCTCCAATCTCCATCTTAAATTTTGGGGTTTGCGGACGTGGAACCTTTAGGTCGCTGCCAGTTGTGTTTCTTGCTGTCGTCTGGGCTAAATCTGCTATCACTTGAAACCAACTAGGGTATAATCTCAAGCCTCAAATTTCAATTAATGCATGAACTATAATTGTGAAACTCACCGAGCGTATGGTAAGGTTATTGTTCACTAAACATACAATCATTCTCTACTTTAAACCATATTTGTATACCATATTATAAGATTTGTATACCAGCATCTTATAACAAATTGAATTATTGAGACGAATTAGTTTCTGGACATACAGTCCAGGAAAAAATCTTTTTTCTAAAAGATTCTGTTCATTGTCCAATTTTTATACGACCGCAAACATTTATAATTTATTTAAACACAATACGCTTAATGAGCTTTGCATAAAACATCATCCATATAAGTTGTCTCTCATTTCATAGAGTGAGCATGACTACGTACCGACAAAAGAGGAATTTTACAATGCCTTAAAGCATTGGTGCTTTAGTTTTTGTCCTTATGTTACAACCTCAAGTTGTACTTTTAATGTTGTGGTACAACTTTAGTTGTACCCATACTGTTTTGTAAAATTCCTTTATGGTACAACTTTAAATTGTATCATAACATAAATGTCAAATTCACTCATGGTACAACTTCAATTTGTACCTTTAATTAACGTTATGGTACAACTTCAAATTGTATTTTAAAGCACCAATACTTTAAAGTACAGTAGAAGTTCTCATAGTGAAATTGTATAAGATCCGTACCTACCTCGGTACTCTATCATTCAATGATCGGCCTTGGATGAATCGGTTCTTGACAATCCTGTATCATTATCATATGGACTTTTTCTCCAATCGTGTAAGCATTGGAGAGCTCTGGTTGATGTGACCGATCAACTTCAATCCAGTGCAACACTGCTATATATGTTTTTTCCTGGGTTTCAGACTTTAAGGTAGTACTGATTTGATTTCCGTGGGGAATTCTATGTTTGATGTTGATGGGAGTAGTGAGGGATCCGCGGAGTTGGCCTGGTAAACACCAACGTACGTACAGTGGACTTGGTCGGACTCCGACATCATGGAAAAACCTCAAGGAAAAGCATTAATGATCAGTAAGCTAAGGCTGGCTGGATCATTGATAATTAGTTAGTTCTGAATTGGTATCACATACAAGTAAGTAAGTAATCAAGACTATCAACATCAAGATTAATTAATTTTTAAGCTGTTTCCAACTTTCGTTTTCTTTCTGCTGCTCTCACTGTATACAAAACGTGTGTGCCATTGGTCCAACAATTTCCAGACATGGTCAATGCGGTTGATGATGGTAGTAGTGAGATCGGCAAAACCCTACATGCTCCAGAAATTAATGTTTGAGTAAGTATAAAGTATATAAAATTTATGATAGATGCTTTGAAACTTCAAACCGGCCTAGCTAGCTAGTGATTGAGAGACATTTACTGGAAATTATTCGGTATTTAGAATATCGGACCGGTTCGACCGGTAGAAATGGTGACCGGTCATAAATTCTGATCCGGGTGGTGTAATTAACCGGCATTTAAGAATCGGCTTGATAGACGTTTCAAACGGCTAACCGCTAGAGACGAGCATACAAGAAATCGGTAAGAATGTCAACATGATTTTTTTTTAATAATTGGAGGCTGCTATATAGGTTTCAAACACAGTACCTTCTGAACAACCCAAATATTTATATTTGCGAACTATAAAGGAGCAACAATTTTCTTTTTAAGAAATCGTCTATTTCAATGTTGTTTTTGTACAAACAAATATCATTTCAAAATTTCGCGATAAAATCTGGCATGCTAATGAAGATACGATCTTCTAAAATTATTCTCCGTCATTATAACTTTTGGTGGTGAATGATCTTCTCAAATTATTTGTAGCCTACCTTCTAATATTTTCATGTAGTCGATCGTCGACCTTTCTGTTCTTCTGCTGCTGCTGATGAATCTGGTCAAATTGTGCTCATCATCAGTGCTGCGAAGCAAATGAAAAGGCATGAATTGGACATATATTGATAGATAGGTACGTAGCTTAAAGCTAGCGGGCCGGCCAGCCCTCCCAACAACTATGTGCAGAAGTGGAGGGTCCTTCCTTCTCCAGCCGGGCTGCTATCAGTTTAGACCTTTTCTTTTCTATGTACGCCATTTATAGTTTGGTGAACCTACACCTTCCATTCCATGGCTGGCACAGCAAAGAAAAAAAAACGGCAACTATGTCCTACATGTTGCCACACGTTTTATTGTACCACAATAATGTTTTACTCCCAACCTTACGAAAGGGCTATATGATCTACAATTGAACATTTTTCAACAAGTCGAGTTATTGAGACTAATTGGTTATTGACAGCCTTTTTTTTAATTATATTACTTTCTCATGGATTTTTTTTATTAGTATTACGAGGAGGTATAAATATTCCAAGTGTGTTGTCCGTACAAAAGTCGATAATGAATATTAGATGAGAGGACCTATCCTACTAGAAATTCAGATGTTGCCATCATCGTTTCAGTGTGATACGTTTCATTTCGCATCTCAGAGGTATAACAATTCTGCTCGTTCCGTGGGCAAAAATGCTCTTGTATCGTTGGGTCATACACTGTCAAGTGTCAACCAATGCTTTTTTTAATTTTCATTTTGTGACCTGACCTGCACACGTCTTGTATATTTCGTATTTATGTTGTTTCCCCACCTATGACAAAAAAAAAGAGTTGATTTCGGGAATAGATAAAAAAAAATGTAAAGGGTATATATATAAGTTTGGGTTAAAGACACATTTGGTCACTGAGATTACAAAATTGGGACATATTTAGTCACTAGAAAAAATTAATATCAAATTTGGTCACTACAATTACTAAGATAGGTCATATTGAGTCACTCTCCGTTCAACTCCGTTAGTGGAGTCCGTTAAGTGCTGACGTGGCTAACGGATGCGCCTAGTCAGCATCATTTTGACCCAAAAATCATCATACCCGACCCGCCATGTCATACACCAACCCAACCATTAACCCAACCCGACCCAAAACCAAACTCTAACCCACCTAACAAAAAAAAAAGGAAAATCATCTGGTTAGTGGCCATTTTCAGACCAAAACCCTTCACCTTCCTCGCAAACCTGCTCCTTCCTCTAGGTTCAGCCATTTTCAATCGAACTCCAGGGAGAGATGAAGAGCTCCACGCTACCCCCTTGCCCCAGATCCTCCTTCCATTTTGCATCTCTTCTTCTTCTTCTTCTTCTTCTTCGTCGCCGCGCGCCGTCAGTTTCCGCCATCGCAGTAGAAGGCAAAACCCTCAAATCCACCTTCGTTGTCTTCCCCCCGGTCACGCCGAAGTTAGCTTTCCCCATCGCGCGCTGACAGCCCTGGTCAAAACCCTAAATCGACCCCCCCCCATTGCGCGAGTCAGTTTCCCCCTGTCGCGCTCCGACTCTCTTCTTCCCCGACTGTAAACGTAAGTGGTTTCTTTGCTTTTCTGGTTGTAAGCTAGTCTAAAAACTCTAGAAAAGGGGAATCAATTATGGAAAGGGGTATGTGCGTTTGATCCTCTCTTCCAAAGCCGCTTGGGAATTCTCGGCGGCGAGGCAGACGAAGGAGCATCAGTCGCCGGGAAATCAAGCGCGATTCCACTCGGTGCCACCTTCTCCACCGTTCCGGAGGATAGCGGTGACGATTCTACTCCTGTAGCCATGTGTTTCGATGTTTCGCCCGGAAACAGGCTCTCCCCCCGGAAACAAACGAACCCGCGGATTAAAGTGGCCGGGAATTCGATGGATGAAAGGAAATGAATTAACGAATTGCAGTTCCGACGCCGGTGAAGTAGAAGGAGAAGGAAGGAAAAGCGTGTACTTCTTCTCTAGTGTGTTACTTTTCTTTGCGTTCTATTCTATCTAATTTCGGGTTCTCGTCGTCCTCCTCCTCTTTTTATCTCTTTCAACGAAAGAAAGCCTTCGAGGAGGAGTTTCTGGTTAGGGTTTGGTTTTGGGTCGGGTTGGGTTAATGGTTAGGTTGGTGTATGACATGGCGGGTGAAACTGACGTGGCGGGTCGGGTATGATGATTTTTGGGTCAAAATGATGCTGACTAGGCGCATCCGTTAGCCACGTCAGCACTTAACGGACTCCACTAACGGAGTTGGACGGAGACTAACGGAGAGTGACTCAATATGACCTATTTTAGTAATTGTAGTGACCAAATTTGATATTAACTTTTTCTAGTGACTAAACATGTCCCAATTTTGTAATCTCAGTGACCAAATGTGTCTTTAACCCATATAAGTTCCCATGAGACAAATATATCCTACGGCTACCAGCACCACAATAGTGACGGGGAACTAATAGTAACGGGAAAGTTTCGTTTTGCGCGCCCGGTCCAATCACGTAGCGCGACAGAGCCCGCTAGTCCGTCAGCTGAGAAGCCCAACATATAGTTTGGGCACCTTAATAAGCTTCTTATTGGGCTTTAAATCAGACCCGGACACGACTTCTCTCTCGTCCACTCAGTCCACAACTCTCATCAATCAAGCAATCCTAGTTTGGCATCTTGGATTTGTCTACTATTGTTGAAAATAACAGGGATAGACAGACTTGTTATGGATCAACAATAAAAACCTTACCGAAAGCCCAATTAAGAGTGAGAGACCATTTCGGG